AAACCATCACCGAAGACGAAAACACACTGAATAACGAACATCATGCAACCGATATTCACGTTGAGACGGAACGTGACCGTGAAGTTCATGAACTCGTCCGCAAATTCACCTCACAATCAGGGCAACACGGTGCGACGGGATCGCCTTTGTCTGATAATGTTCATCCACGGCTAGATCCCAAGAGTGAACAGTTTCGTGCGAAGGACTGGGCCCAGGCGTTCTACAATTTGCGCTACAGCAGCGAAGAAACGATTCCTCGTGTTGCAGGAGTTGCCTTTCGAAATCTCAACGTATGGGGCATGGGATCCCCTACAGACTTTCAATCTACAGTCGGCAATATGATACTCAAGCTGCCTTCATTGTTTGGAAAAGGCACCAAGAAGATTGAGATTTTGCGCGACCTTGATGGGTTGCTACTACCTGGAGAACAACTATGTGTTCTCGGCCCACCAGGGTAGGTTGAAGCTTATATCTTTCATTAGATATCACAGCTAATACATTCCAGATCCGGATGTTCTACATTACTCAAGACTATCGCGGGTGAGACTCATGGTTTCCAAGTTAGCCCTGAGTCGCACCTCAACTATCAGGGCATCCCAGCCAAAGAGATGAACACTTCTTTCCGAGGAGAGGCCATCTATACAGCAGAGGTTGACGCCCACTTTCCTCAGCTCAGTGTTGGCGATACACTCTATTTTGCTGCTCTTGCCCGTGCCCCGCGTCAGATTCCTGGTGGCGTCACCAGGGAACGCTACGCTGAACACCTCCGCGATGTAAGTCCTTTTACTAAAGCAATAGACAGCCCCCTACTAATGCTTTCAAGGTTGTGATGGCTATGTATGGAATCTCGCATACAGTCAACACCCGCGTTGGTAACGACTTTGTGCGAGGTGTGAGTGGTGGCGAGCGCAAGAGAGTAACGATCGCTGAGGCTTCTCTCAGTTTTGCACCTTTGCAGCTGTGGGATAACTCTACACGTGGATTGGATTCTGCAAACGCAGTCGAGTTCTGTAAGACGCTCAGAACACAATGCGACGTCTTTGACACATCTACTTGTGTTGCCATCTATCAAGCTCCACAAGCTGCATATGAGGTATGCATTCCCGCGTGACCACCGCTAGAACAATACTGACTGTTTATAGCTCTTCGATAAGGTGACAGTTCTCTATGAGGGTCGCCAGATCTACTTTGGCCCAGCAAGCGAAGCGCGTGCCTATTTTGAGCGCCTTGGCTTCGAATGTCCTGCGTCACAGACTACCCCGGATTTTCTGACTTCGATGACGTCTCCTTCTGAGCGCCGTATCAGAAAAGGCTTCGAAAACAGAACGCCCCGCACGTCAGATGATTTTGCGCAATGCTGGAAGACGAGTCCCGAAAGACAGCAGCTGTTGAGGGCGATCGAAGACTTTGACAAAAGCTACCCACTCCGAGGCGAACAGCGTAATCTCTTCGCGTTATCGAGGACGAAGGAGAAGTCTAGCAAGCAGCGCCAGAACTCGCCATATACACTTTCCTACTGGAGGCAGGTTCGTCTCTGTATGTGGAGAGATGTGCAGAGACTCAAGAACGACCCGAGTGTCTCGTTGACAATGCTTGCTGTAAACTTTACTGAAGCAATCATCGTCGCCAGTATTTTTTTCAACTTGCCCGAAACTACTGCATCTTTCTTCAAGCGAGGAGGAGTCATATTCATGGTCGTAAGTCCACCTCCCTTCTGATGTATGGATGAAGATGTTTACTCACTGTTCTAGATCATACTGAACGCTTTCGGTAGCATGTTAGAGATTATGAATCTCTATGCCAAACGAACGATCGTTGAGAAGGTAAGCTATGTCATTCTACTTATCTATGAACACTGCGAGTTGACAGTTTTCTCAGCACAACCGCTATGCGCTATATCATCCCAGCGCAGAAGCACTAGCTTCAATGATCGTGGACATTCCGTACAAGGTCTTAAACTGCATTTTCGTCAACACCACACTCTACTTCATGGCCAACCTCCGTCGAGATGCCGGCTCATTCTTCTTCTTCCTTCTCGTCGGGTTCACTACTGGTCTTTCCATGAGCATGTTCTTCCGACTGCTTGCTTCGATGACCAAGACTCTCGCACAGGCCTTCGCACCGAGTTCTCTTATCCTTTTGATGCTGGTTCTCTACACCGGCTTTCCCCTACCTGTTCCTTATATGAAGTCATGGATAGGCTGGGTGCGACACATCAACCCCGTATCGTATGGATTTTCGAGCGTTATGAGCAATGAGTTCAACGGTCGATCGTTTGCCTGTTCGTTATTCATTCCATCCGGGCCATCCTACGAGAACGCTACACTGGAGCAGCGAGCATGCGCCGTTCAAGGTTCACGACCTGGTGAGGGATTTGTCAGTGGTACCGCATACGTCGAGACTGCATTCCAATATAAATTCAGCGAGCGGTGGCGAAACTATGGCATACTTGTGGTCATGACTTTCGGACTATTCGTCATCCATCTGGTTATGAGCGAACTGGTTGCTTCTGAGCGCTCCAAGGGCGAGGTTCTGGTATTCCGTCGATCTAAGATGAAGAAGATGGCCAAGCGTCAAAACACAGACGAAGAGGCGGGCGGTGCAACTGCCCATGAAGGCGAGAAGATTAGCCGCAGCAACAGCTCTAATCGGGAAGTGCAGGAGCAGGTCTCAATCTTTCACTGGGAAAAGGTTACCTATGAAGTGCAGATCAAGGGCGAAACGCGCAAGATTCTTGATGATGTCGACGGATACATCAAGCCCGGCACTCTCACAGCTCTCATGGTATGTATATCTTCACAGGAGGTCAGGATCCAGCTAACAACTACTTAGGGCGTATCTGGTGCAGGCAAGACTACACTACTTGACGTGCTGGCCAGCCGAACCACAATGGGTGTCATCGGCGGTGATATCTTCGTAGACGGCCGACGACGAGACGAATCCTTCCAGCGACAAACTGGATATTGTATGCAGCAAGATATTCATCTGGATACATCGACTGTACGAGAAGCTCTAGAGTTTTCTGCGCTACTGAGACAGCCGCCGGAATATGGTCGTGAAGAGAGATTGGCATATGTCGATCACGTCATCCAGCTCTTGGATATGGAACAGTATGCAGATGCCGTTGTCGGTATTCCAGGATCAGGCCTTAATGTAGAGCGTAAGTTCAACAGCTCTTTGTGTTTTCATTACCGAGATCTATACTGACTGAATCAGAACGCAAACGTCTCACTATTGGTGTTGAGCTCGCTGCCCGTCCGAAACTGCTCCTCTTCCTTGACGAGCCAACATCTGGTCTTGACTCACAGACGTCTTGGTCTATCTGTGATCTCATGGAGAAGCTGACTAGAGATGGCCAAGCAATTCTGTGCACTGTACACCAGCCATCATCCCTTCTCTTCCAGCGATTCGACCGTCTCCTCCTGCTTGCCAAAGGTGGACGTACAGTGTACTTTGGCGACATTGGACGCGACTCCAATGTACTCCTCGACTACTTCCAACGCAACGGCGCACCGACATGTCCTCCTGGCGCAAACCCAGCCGAGTACATGCTCGAGGCAATTGGCGCGGCGCCCGGAGCCAAAACCGAGATCGACTGGCCTTCTGTCTGGAAAAGCAGTTCAGAGTTCGAGCAAGTCCAAATGGAACTGGAAAAGTTACGCCAACTAGTCAATCAACCCTCCGCCGTCATGGACGCCGCAAAAGGTAGCCACCAAGCCTTTGCCGCATCCTTCTTCGACCAATTCCGCGCCGTCGCTCTCCGCTGTGCCCAACAATACTGGCGCACCCCCTCCTACATGTACTCCAAAGCCATCCTAACCATCGGCTGCTCCCTCGCGATCGGCTTCTCCTTCATCGACGGCACAAATACAATGCAAGGCCTGCAAAACCAAATGTTCGGCGTCTTCATCTTCCTCTTCGTCGTCAACCAGCTCATCTACCAAATCCTGCCCATGTGGATCTTACAACGCACCTTATACGAAGCTCGCGAGCGCCAGTCCAAAACCTACGCCTGGCAAGCCTTTGTACTGTCCAACATCGCCATCGAAATGTTCTGGAACGCCATCATGGCCATTGCATGCTTCTTCGCCTGGTACTATCCCGCAGGCTTGTATCGCAACGCGCAACCCACGGATTCCGTCAACATCCGCAGTTTTCACACGCTCCTCATCATCGTCGCCGTCTTCCTCTTCGCAAGCACCCTCGCCCACCTACTCATCGCCGGCTCTCCCGGCGAAGAAATCGCAGGAGCCTACGCGACACTAATCACAATTATGATGTACGCTTTCTGCGGCATTCTGGCCAGCAAGGATGATCTACCCAGATTCTGGATGTTCATGTATCGCATCAATCCGTTTACGTATCTTGTATCGAGTTTTTTGGCTACGACGCTCGGACAGGCGCCTGCGCATTGTGCTGAGAATGAGTTTCAGAATTTATTTGCGCCGCAGGGTCAGACGTGTGGGGAGTACATGGCGGAGTATATCAGTATGGCGGGGGGCTACCTGAGAGATGCGAATGCTACGGAGTGTGCGTACTGTCAGTTGGATAGTACGAATCAGTTCTTGAGCCGGGTACACGTGAATTGGGATACGAGGTGGAGGGACTTTGGGCTCCTGTGGGTGTATGTTGTGTTTAATATTGGGGCGGCGGTGCTTTTGTACTGGGCTTTTCGTGTGCCCAAGGGGAAGAAGAGGCAGTAAATTAGGGTGACACAGTTGCTTTTGCACTGAGATTTCTGCGTGCCGAAGGGGGAAAAGAGGGGGCAGATTGTTCTGTTCTTTCCAGTTCCGAAAAGTATAGACTTTAGACCTTAGACTAGTATCGCTGTAATATGTAATCATCAAATATTGAAAGATAAAACATAATCTTGGTATATATACTTTGACGTTTAGTCAACATGCAAAAAAAAAGCTTTTTAACAAGAAATATAAATCAAAGACGCACAACTGGGCGGATGACACATATTCCAGCAATCATCCCCATCGCACAGCAGCCATCTAGCACGCAGCAACCGACCCGGAGAACTTGCAAGCGCTCGATGGGCCCTTTGACACAGAATTCGGCTCATTACCAGGCGTCGTTCCCTTGAACTCCTCGCAAATCTCCTTGACACCCGTCGCACAAGTCGCCGCATCAATGGTAGCCGAGTCGCCAAAGTTGGAGTTGATACCCGCGAGCAGCTTGCCGTTTGTGGCTTTGACGCCCTTGATAACGACGTGGCGCTCAGCGCTTTCCTTGCAGTTGCCGCAGGCGCGGTAGAGTTTGCCGAAGTTGTCGACGGTGAAGTTTTCGATTGTGACGGTGCCTTTGCCGTTGTGCTGGATGACTTTGTCTTGTGCGGCTGTGGCGCCGCCTCCGATGACTGTGGGATGCGTTAGCTTATACCCTTTTTTTCATCTGGTTTCTTCTTTGATGGAATGAAGCGAGTAAGGGGGGAATTTAAACGTACCAGTAGCATCGCCATCGCCCTTGAGTGTCAAAGCATCTTCACATACAGACACCCACCACACATTCTCAATCGTGCAGGACCCCTCGCAGTGCACACCCTCGATCTGGTCCTTGCCGATAATGGCGTTCTTGAGCGTGGCACCGTCCTTGAGCAGGAACACGGCGTCAGAGTTGCCGCCCTCGGCTTGGCCAGTGCAAGAGACGCCGCGGCCGTATGTCTTGAGGCCTCCGTCAAAGACACCGGTGATTTCCTTGGGTTCAGAGAAAGTCTCGGTGCCGTTGCCTTGGGGTACAGGTAGCGAGCCTCGCTTCATCATTGTGTAAAAGTTTCGGGGGTAGATGCGAGCTGGGCCGGCTGAGGCGGCGAGGGCGAAACCCAGAATGGAGGCAGCGATGGAGGCCTTCATTTTTGATAGTAGTCTTGAGTGTAGAGAAAGAAAGTTTGGAAGGAGTGCGATTGGGTTCGACTAGCGAAAGGTGGTGCGTCAAGCACAGAAACAGAAAACAGGGACTGAAGGAGTATGGGGTGTGAAGGACTCGTGCTGGCTCAATCAAGAGAGTTGATTTTTCTAGAAGGACGTCTACGCTGTCCCTCTTATACTGGCGTACCCACCTCTTCATCTCCCCAACGTGTTCTCGAATACCCACAGCATGTCTTGTTCATGGGGAAAATGTTTTGCGTAACTGGGATCTGCGTATAAAGTGGGTTCGTAATCACCCCACTACTCAGCGTCGGCCTTGAAACCATGTTTTGACTATCAAGACGGTAAAAGTGAAGGTCGATCACCATGCTGCAGGACTATTCATGGTTGTCTTGGCGAAAAATGCTCATTTGTTTGAAACATAATGCGCGGAGGTAGTTAGCCCGCTGCGGGTGGCGTTTATCACCCTGATCACGCCCGTTTCGGAGGTGTTGTGCCAAGACGGTGATGTGTTTTGGCATTGATGCTTGGACTTGTTCAGTCGTACCTTCTTAATGAGGGACAGTGAGTGTTGGTAGAATCGTAGGAGGTCTCCTAGTGTGTGCATTCCACTGTGTACTTGTAGTGTATGTGTTGCATGTGTTTCTACCGACATGTCATAATTCATTGTAGATGCGAAAATAATAATCGTGTGATCATTCTTTGACTCTTCGGCATTGATGGCCAGTGCAACACGATATTCTCAAACACGCCACTTCGGGCTGCATCTTAGGTGCTGACTGAGAAGGTACCGCGCGGTTGGAAGGTGGAAGAATGGCGTTCGCGATCGAATCCTTGACAAAAGCAGGGGAAGGCGGCTGGGATTGCGATCAGCGTTGTGATAACGGGTAGGCAAGTTTGACGACGATCAACGAGCGAAAAGAACATATCGGCCGCATTGAAGCAAATTCCTTTGTGGTGTAAAATGCACATTTTCCCTAATGTCTAAGTCAGCGAGTTAGAGCACTGCAATTACAATACTACGCGTAATCAAATGGTCGTTTCAACCAGGTGTCAAAATAGGCGTTTATGCTACTATACGTGAGGCTCAAGCAAGAGTGTGGTGGAGTAGAGGTGTGGAGTATATTGTCGTCAGCTGGGACTGTGCACTTCTTGGCTTGGGCCACCTGTGAATGACGTGCTGCACCGAAAAGCTTGGTTGCGTGTCCGTGATAGTAAAGCTGAATGTCTCCTATCTTAGCTATAACTCAACTGCACCCTTTCCCTATCAGCCCAATCTGAAATTGCGACGCGTGTACGAGGGCGCGGACATCGGGACTAGAGAAAAGGGTCTTCTTTGCAACGTCATTTACGTAACTTGGTTAGTGAAAATAGGATCACGCTACGGTTGCAGCAATGTGAATTAGCGCGCATGAATCTGACATTCTGGGTAGTGATTCTTGGAACTGATAAAGGTCCAAGGCATTGAGCGGCAAGTGAAACACATCGATCCAACCTGAAGATTCCCCATCCGGAGTTTACCCGACTGCGGGTTGAGGATCTATCCGCTACCTAAGGCTGTGGGATCACTAGGATCTGAGGGAACCCGATATCCGAGCGGTGATTTCCTTGCAGAGAACGTCTATAAACTACAATATCTCTATCTAGAAAACTGGACATCTTGACTCAGCTCAAATGGCTAATACATAGGGTATCCTGTAGCTTTAGTGTGGCTCGAGCGGCGACTGGCGTGGCGTTGGCTGTGGCTTTGCCTCTCGACTATGGCATCACTACTGCTGTAGCTAAGCCGAGGTTCATTAGGTAACATAATGGGAGAGACAAAGGCACCAACAATACCTCGACACCATCTTGACATGCATTGTACAAGAAACAATCACACAATCCGAACCTTGTCTAGGGAAAGAGACTGTACCTGTATTCTTGTGTGCTGCCTGAACATAGAGAAAAAAGCAAGACCAGACAAGCTCTATGTGTATGATAAAAGGGGATACAGTTGCTGGAGATTACATGATAGCATCTCCTTCCACAAATACTCCCAGATCTGTGGTATCTTCCATGCCGCACCCCACAACCTCTCTCTTGATGTTCAATCACACCACAACGCCCTACTCCGAATTTCCGTTATGGAAGATCAAGCAACTGACTGCGGGAATCAGGATATGACCCTGTCTCGATCTAAAATGATCAGTAAACATAGGAAAAAACACCACTCGTAATGCCAGTCATAACGCCGTAGATACACAAAATACAGAGGCTATGGGCTAATGCTTATGCCCGTTCGTTAATATGATTATTTGTCGTAGTCGTCACTGGGATGCGAGCCTTGACGGTGGAAATATGATCCATGTCATCGGTAAGAGTGACGTCAACTGACTGACCCTCGGGTATCATTTTGTGGTTGAGTTGCCAACCCGCACGGCGGGCAAGCTCGGCCACTACGACATCGCAATCGCCAAGGAGGTTGATGTCGAAGTTGATGTGGTGAATGGGATCTCGTGAGATGTAAATCTGCGGAATGTCGCGGGGCAGAAAGTTGGGTATCTCAGATACGGGAGCGACTTTCATGCTCGTGCCCATTACAATGACCAAATCTACCTTGTCCTTGTCTACATCCTTTAGCCGGTCGAAGAAGTCATTGGGAAGGGCTTCGCCGAAGAAGGTAATATCCGGCTTCATGATGCCCGGCTGGGGAATGTCAAAGGCGCCATCGGATTCGGAGTCTTCGTCGCTGGATCGCTTCTTCCTGCTGCCGTTGGCGTTGGATTGGCGTTTGCGCTTCTTGCTGGGTTGGGCCGCGATTTCGTCCTTGCAGCGCTGACACTCAGCAGGCCGCTGTGCGCGCACATCGTCGAAGATGGCCTCACCCGGTACCTTGAACTTGCATTTCCGGCATGTCGCAGTGGCCCAGGAGCCGTGGCACTGGATAAGCTTATCCTTGCGTATTCCCGCGTGTGCTTCGACATTATCGATATTTTGAGTGTAGTTGGTGAGCAGCTTTTCCTTATCCTGGAGTAGGCGTATGAATTCGTGCGTAGGCGTCCACTTTTCAAGGTCGGGGATAATGTCACCGGCAAGCGCATAAAAGGTGCGCGGGTTCTCGTCAAAGTTGTGAATGTCAAAGACCTCCTCGGGCTCGTCGTAGCCCATCTGCAACAGTCGCGAGTAGAAACCTGTGTTCTTGGAACGAAAGTCGGGGATACCGAGGCTCGTCGAGATGCCTGCGCCGGTGATGACCATGATGTTCTTGCGCTCCAGCAGCAGTTTTGCAGCGTCGTCAATGGTCTTGTACTGCTCAAGGCGGGGGCGCTTGTTGAGCTCGCGGTTGATGGCCAGGCCAAGCAACTGGTAGAAGTTCTCGTCGGGCGCTTCTTCAAGGAACTTGGGTATCCTGACGCCAAACGCGGTACACAGTTTGCGCGCCGTCATCTTCTCGCTGGTGATGTTTTCCATGACGAACTGGCTGGCGCCAACCTCGTGCAGTCGCTGGCGCAGTCGGCGCGCCTCGTCAGCAGTGCACACATCTTTGCCTGTACAACTGTCAATGGCTGTGGCCAACGCCACACAGGGTCAAACTTACCGTCGTTGGAGTACTCGAAGGCTTCGACTTCATCCAGAATCTCCTCATACAGCGAAGCCGAATCCCACACGCCACCATCCTCGTCGTCGTTGTCAGGCGCAGGCGCGTCCTCTTCTTTGGGTTTGGTCGCGCCCCCCGCTGTGTGTTCCGCCTTGCCAGCCGGGGCAGGGGGCGGGGCGGAGTCGTGGACAGCGACGGGTCCCTCTGAGGCGTGGGCAGCCATGATGTCGTTTTCCCGTGCGCGCTCACTATCAACCAAAGTAACTCGGCGAGAGTGGAGGAGAAAAGGTGGTCAGATGGGTGAGTTGGGGAGCCTTGGCGCTAGGCCGATTTAGGCGATACGGAGATGGCCGCATTTTGATTGTTGTTTGCACGCCATTCTTCCTCCGATGCACCGCCGCGGAGAGTCGTCGCCGTCTCCTTCGCCAATCTCATGCCACTGCAGCATGCAGCATCTTGCAAGGGATTTCTTCGTACGAGCTGTATCCATGCACGCAGCCGTCCGAGACTGGAAAAATATGGACAAATCACAGCCCAGGATATGCAGCTTTTGCCGTCTTGACATGCTCGTTGGTGGCATGCAGCTACGGAACTACATGTCACTTCTTCGTGTATCGTCAAGTATAAGGCATTCAGCTTTTCGAACAAGAATTGCGAGGCCTCCTACTCTTCATCCTGCTTCTATCGCTCATCATGACTTTGTTTGCTGCTTCTGCGACTGAGCTGGTCCAGCGTCCACCTGCACTTGACCACAGGTTGCACTTGACTGCCGTGACAGTCTACCAGCAGCCTTTGTTACGCATAGCCTCGCCTGATTCGCATCATTGCGGGGCACCAAAACCATGCTCTATGGGTCAGTTGAGCGAGACAAACTGTGTGCCTTGCCCCGCGAGGCTAGCGACGCTTCCAGTCGAGATAGTCAACCGCATACTATCAGACCTCATCCACCCTCATTGTCGTCTACCAGGCCTTACTGAAGCTCAGAGCCAACACGGCTTCACCGAGAAGCAAAAACGCAGCATCAAGGACAAAGAGAATCTCACCCAGCCTGCAGATGCTGATCGATGGGCTGTCGATATATTCTCCTTGTGCCTAGTCTCACACCCCTTCAATGCCCTGGCTCTAACATCCCGGGCATGTCATAGGCTAGTCGAAAGCTACTGTGCACATCTGGTCCGCCGATGCAACAGTACCATGTTCAACCTTCCCTTCGCCCATCTTGATAAGTATGGTTCCAATTGTGTCTATCCGGACCTCAGTGGCATCGTGTACCGGCGACTATGGCTGCAACATGCTCCGCGCAAGTGTGTCTATTGTCAGGCAACGCTTGATTGCTACCCCTTTCGAACAGTCAATCGTATTCTCACTGCCTGCGGAGACTGCTTTTACCGTCAAACCATGGTATGCGTTCCTTCAAGTTGATCCCGTAAAAGTCACATGACTAAGTAACAAGCGCAGACGACCGACGAAGTGGTAAGGCAGTACCACCTCTCACCTTCTGCCCTCGTCTCAAATCGAATTAGAGGCAACAGATCACCGTGGGTCTTGCGCGTCGATGTGGAAGCCCTGGCTTTGCAACTTTACCGCACACGAGGATTTCATGATGCTCATCCAGAGCAGTTTGATAGGCCATGTTCAATATGTGTCATCACCAGGTTTACGCACCAACATGAAGTCGATAAGCCACAACCGAGCAAAAGGATTGCAGCCCGCCAGGCTGGAAGGAGGACAAGGATGCGCTCAACGCGGTCGTGACCTTGGGCAGTGCAGAACGTTGGCGATCCTATTCTCTTTTTTACTTTCTTTTAGCATAAGAAGAATTTCTGTTCTTTGGTCAGTCATTGAATGGAAAAAGAATCTCCGCAACGTAGATGTATTCAAAAATCTTCTCCACTGTGAACTAGGATTACTAGTAAGGTTTGATTCTCTTCTCGTACTTTTCTCCAATCTGACTTTGATACTGGGGGCGGAAGAGGTGAAAATTCCACTGCTGCAATCCTGGCGATTAATTGACTTGTAACCACCTACTTCATCTATTGATGTCGAGAGTATGTGAGAAGAACAGATTACTGAAGCTCGATGATTCCAAAGAGGCGCAAAGTGGGGTGAAGTTGACTGTGGGGTACTCACATGCTAGCGCGCCGCGCTAATCACAGCGCGTTTTCTTCGCAATAGACGCGACCGCCCCACATTCACGCACTATCAAGACACCAAACGCCGTCATTCGCACTCCATATCCAAGACAAGCCTTGGTGTAGGCTACAAAATGCTTGATATCCACCGTCCTGATCCCGCACAGGACACCAAGGTTTACTTTTCACACAGCATTCTACCGTCCTATGTTGATCCGCAAAATGTCTCCACCAAAAAGAAGCCATTCTCTGCATTGAACAAGCAAAAATACAGCCACACCCTCGACCTGATACTGCCAGAAGAGATCTATGAGATTTTAAGAGATGGATTGCAGCGGAGTGATGGCCCAGCAAGAGCACAATATGCGCGAGTACATATGAAGCTCGGAGAAATCTTGGAAAAAGAATTCCTGGACGGGTACATCAAGCAAGGAAACATTGCGATGTTAAGTGAAGGCCGGCCGCTTGTCGATGATCGTTTTGAACTATACGAGGGTATCCTCCGCATGGAGCTTACGCGCCCAACGTATGAACGATGTGGTTTGCATGGCACACCGATTGAGGACGGCGGAAAGAAACATCAAAAGCAACGGTGGATCGTCGAGTATGACTTGCGCGCCAATTCGGCTAAGCATGGCAAGAGTGGCTTCTCAAGACTAGAATGGGCATGCAAGAATGTTCTTGATCGTTCGCTTACATGGCTATTTTACAACTTCAACCCTTCGTCTGCGGAGTCGCTGACTGAAGGGAAAGAAGTCATTTCGAAACACTCGCCCTGGTTACATGACATTGTACCTGAGCAGTCGAGTTCGCGGGAGGTGCTTGTGCCGCAATTTTCCCTTGGCGACCTTGCAGACTTGTACGCGGAGGAAGATGCGCTGGGCTTGTTGGAATACCTCCACATGCTCAGTCTCGATTCGCCGCGCATCCAAAAAGGGGACGGCATAAACCATCATCTATCAAGATATGAGGTGCCAGATTTTGGCAAAGGTATTGGATCATGTCATATGGTTGTCATGCGCTGGAGGGGGTTTATACCTCCGACTTTTATTCGCAGTATCTTCCTTGCTATCCGCAAAGATGCGTTCAAAAATAAAAAGAGGGGAAATGGTGCGCAGGGAGACGTCAGTATGGAAGGGAGCAGTGTCATTGAGGGAAGTGAAGGACAGTGGTTTGCTATGAGCGCAAGTGGTTTTGGGGGTACAAATTCCTGGACAATCATGCAGTTTGCAGATCGGCAGACACTGACATGGGAAGTGGAGGCCTAGAACCGGTATTGAAGATAAGCATATGCTTACTCATAACTCTGTCGAACGCAGCTCTCAGGACTAATTCTTTCTCATTACCTCAATAGAAAAAGGCACATTGCTTCTCTGCCACCTAAAAGACTTCGATGCACCAGCTTTCGGTTCGGGATACGAATTAGTCACAATGGCACTGCAGTCTCATACGATCGCATCGTATGTTCATGCTGATCCACTTCTATTGCCAAGTCGCAAATTCACTACTTGCTACAACGCCTCTTCCCAAGACAACCGCATGCATCATGTATTTGCTCTACTGAAAATAGCTACCCACTCACCAAACTCCCAGCTGAGATCTCTAGATAGTGGCGTCCGACACCTCACTCCCTCCAATCCACACACCCCGACTCAGCAAAAAAACGGCCACCGACTCATCATCAACCGCATCAAGCGCAATCATACCTCAACTACACCGTATCTCAACTGCCGTCCTCCCAACTCAGCACCCACAAAGTTCCAATTCCCAATCACCTGACCACACACAGCCCAAGAGACCCACATCCGCCCTCCCCACATAACACCCCCACCCAGCCCTGTCGCCCAGATCCCAAACCAGAAAAATCAAACGAAGACATCCCCGTTCTGACACAGTTACATACCCTGCCAGCTGAGTTTACCTACGCTGGACTCTTGTTTCTCAAGGATCTGCAGAAATTTCTATGTATAGTTTTTTTTAAACTTTTCTACAAGATTTTTTTTTCTCTTGGGTGCCAACTCCACACTCACCGGTGCATTTCTACTCTCAACGTCATGGTTAAGGGTAAGTGTGAGGATAGACGTTGGCGTTGTGGGTAGCAAGAGGAGGACGCATCGGTAGTTGTGGAGATCGGAGGATGGGACTGGAGGATGAGGGGGCCTGAAGGGTTAGGTAATGGGGATCCACATTACGGGGATTGGATGTACTCGGGGTTTGGTGGGAGGATGGATAGCGGTGCAGTGTAGGAATATAGCAATAGTATTGTGTGTGTGTGTTTGAAGGGGGGGGGGAGCAGAGGGAGAATGGGAAGGTTGAGTCATGTCATGGAGGTTGAGGATTTCGCATATTCCGCATAGTGACAAGATACGATAGCCATGGTGTTTTTTGAGGTAAGGGGCTTGGCAATTCGTCTCAGTTAGTGCCACGATCAAAGTCCCGAAGCTTTGCCAGTGATGGTTTGACCTGGTTTGGTTTTCTCACGCGCACTCGCCCGGTGCTATCGATCCCCGTATCTGCTAGTTTGAGACCAAGGGCTTGGGAGGGGCGTGCGACATGCCGAAAGTCTAAGACCTTATTGAGACGGAAAGTTTAACGCCACTGACTTTTGTGCTTGAACGCCCGTTGCGGTGGCAAAGAGCGGGTGCGGCAGAGATTAAGTTTGGGGAGAGTAAAACTGGTGTGAACATGTCTATGTGTGCGTGTGTCAGTTGTGTATCTCGGTGTCCGACTCGTAAGGGGAAAATGACTAGAAACAGGGCGACGGTGAGGTCGATGCGGGAAGAATAAGCGACGGAAGATGTTTTGGTTTCTGGACGGTGCTAGTACTAGTTGCTGAGAATACTACGTAGTATTCAAGTCTTACCATGCGCTTTCCCAATACTACTCTACATTGCTCCCCCCTCCCAAGAAAAGCGCCTGCATTCGAATGGGAGTTGGCAAGAATCCACATGTCAGCATACTGTTGGATCGCGCGTATGCAGGGAATGCAATCCCACGCTCGCTCTTCCCCGGTAGCGAGCAAGCTACCAAAAGCGAACAACAAAATAGCCCGGCGAAGGGGTGTGGGCACTTGACTAAGCCCTATCCTATCGCAAGCTTTACTGGTTATCCTTGCTTTGCATACTTCTATACCATGTCTGATAAGGCGTCCGTAAGACTTTACTACAGCCACATCAGACAGACAGCGAAGGGGAGACAAAAACAAGTTCTGCGAGTTTCATTGGGAGGCTGCTATGCGCCAGCTGTGCAAGACATCGTGATGGGAAAATAGAAGAAGAGAGAGAGAG